CCAAGGCCTGCCGCCGTAGAAGAGAGAGGAGAGAGAGAGGAGAGAGAGGGAGACCACCTGGCGGCCAACAGCAACAGCAGGCTCAGCCTGAATGAGGAGACGCAGACTCACAGTTGCAACTGTGCTTCCAGTTTCCGCAGTCGCGTCACATCAATAACAAGGGGGCGTAGTTCAATTGGTAGAGCGTCTGACTCCAGATCAGAAGGTTGCGTGTTCAAGTCACGTCGTCCTCATATCTTTTGCGGACATGCGAATTGTTTGAATCCAATTCTGCAACTAGGAAAGAAGTTTGAAATGTTGAAACTAACCTCCAACACCCATGCCAGACATGAGCCAGAAACCTGCGTGCACCAGCCTAGGCCAGGTATTGCTTGGTCAGAGCAATTCATGTTTTGCAGATGGTTTATGAAAGAAGGGATTCTAGTTGCAGAATTGGGTTCATACAATTCGCATGTCCGCAAAAGATATGAGGACTACGTGACTTGAACACGCAACCTTCTGATCTGGAGTCAGACGCTCTACCAATTGAACTACGCCCCCTTGTTATTGATGTGAAGCGACTGCGGAAACTGTATTGGTCCTCCCCAACTTCCAAATTGGCTCTATTTTAGTGACGTTGAGTATCAGTGCAACCCTTATTGCTCGCCTATCACTCCTCGCCGCACTTGTACAACCAACACTCACTTGTCAAACAATCATGGCGAAGACCTCCCCAGCTCTGTGCCTTGCCCTACTCCTTCTTCTTGTGGTCCTACAATGCGCCCAGTCTAAGAAGCACCAACAGCACCACCAACCACCACAGCTCATTGTCGACACCCAGACCGGCCCGGTCCAGGGCTTCGTCAAGGACGGCATCGCTCGCGCCTTCCTGGGCATCCCCTTCGCTGACCCGCCCCAGCGCTTCGCCGCCGCCGCGCCCGCCTCGCCCTGGTCCGGGGTCTACAATGCCACCTCGTTCCCGGTGCCCTGCATTCAGTCGCCCACGCTCGGTAGCGAGGACTGCCTCTACCTCAACGTCTTCACGCCCAAGAACACCCGCGAGGGCGACGACCTGCCCGTCATGTTCTACGTCCACGGCGGCCGCTACTGGACCGGCCAATCCGACCAATACGCCGGCCAGTGGCTCTCCGGCAACGGCCGCGTCGTTCTCGTCACTATCCAGGTGCTCCTCGAGCTTTCGCTTTCGTTCTTCTTCCCCCCCCCCTCTTTTTCGCTTCGTTCTTTTTCGCAATACTCATGCGTTGTGCCGTGACGCCACAGTACCGGCTGAGCGTGTTCGGCTTCTTCGCGATGCCCGAGCTGGAGGACCAGGCCGACCTCAACGTCGGATTCCAGGACCAGATTCTGGCGATGCAGTGGGTCAAGGACAACATTGCCAGCTTCGGCGGCGATCCCGACCGCGTGACGATATTTGGCGAGAGCGCGGGCGGCAACGCCGCGATGCTGCACACCATGGTCCACCCCTACTCCGACCCGGGCGCCTTCCTGGGCCAGGCCCAAACCGCCATCCTACAGAGCACCTGGCAGTGGGTCATGCCCACGCTGGCCCAGACCAAGGCCGCGTCGCTCAAGTGGGCCGCCAGCCGCGGCTGCAACCAGTCCTCCACCGCCGACGTGCTGGCCTGCATGCGCGCGCTCCCCGCCGCGAGCATCGTGCCGCCGACGTCGGAGGCGATGATCAACTACTTCCAGCCCTGCGTCGACGGCGTGTTTCTCACGGATCAGCCCTACAACCTGATCAAGCGCGGCGAGTACGACACGGACGTGCGGATCGTGATCGGCCACACGCAGGACGAGGGCACCTACATGGCCTACACGCGGACGGGCTTCAAGACGCCGGCCGACAACATCACCGAGGCCGACTACCTCCGCGCTCTGCGCAACAACAGCCTCGGGTTCATGCTCACCGACGCCCAGATCGACGAGGTGCTCGGGTGGTACGCCGCCTCGACCGCCCAGTTGGGCTACTGGTACGGCCTGGCCGAAGTGCTGGGTGACTGGTACATCATCTGCGGGTCCAACCTCGCCGCGCACCACTTGGCCAAGCACGGCGGGCCGGTCTACGCCTTCGTGTGGAACTACACCAGTCCCTACAGCACGCAGCCCTTCTTCGGCGCCAGCCACGGCAACGAGCTGCCCTACATCTTCAACGCCTCGGTCTACGGCGTCACCAACTTTGCGCCGTCGGACTACGTGCTGGCCGCGCGCATGATCGCCTCGTGGTCCCGCATCGCCCACAAGGGCAAGCCGGCCCCGCCCAGCTGGCCCCGGTACAAGCGCAAGAGCCCGCAGGCCTTCATGTGGGAGCAGGTCGGCACCGACCCCGACCCGCCCACCCGCACCGTCCCCTTCCTCCGCTCCAGCCGGTGCTTCCACTGGGAGCCCATCTTCTCCGCCGACTCTCTCGTTCAGCCTTGACGAGTTTTGTTTGTTTCGGTTTGTTTCGGTTTGTTTCGGTTTGATAGAAGTACATTGCTGTGTCGTGTTGTACAAGGAGGAGCACGGGGCCTCGGCAGAGTTTAGACGTTGTCGGCGATGATGAGGGTGGAGGGGACCTGTTCGTCGTCGTGGCCCTGCATCATGTGCTCGATGGCGCTGACGACGCTCTCCATGGCCGGTCGCTTGTGCGGGTTGGCGTGCCAGCACTTGCGCATGAGCTTGCTGAAGTCGGACGGGCAGTCGGCCGGGATCGTGGGCCGGTCGCCCTTGAGCACGTCCATGGTGACCTTGATGAAGTTGCGGCCCTCGTAGGGCTGGCGGCGGGTGAGCACCTCCCACATGACGACGCCGAACGAGTACACGTCGGCCTTCTCGTCGTAGGTGTTGGAGCTGAGCACCTCGGGCGCGGTCCACGCGGGCGTGCCGCAGCGGGTCATGGTGGCGTTGTCGCCCTTGATGCGCGCCAGGCCGAAGTCGCCCACCTTGACGGTCCAGTTGTCGTCGACGAGCAGGTTGGAGGACTTGAGGTCGCGGTGGATGATGGGGCTCGCGCGGGTGTGCAGATACCGCACGCCGTCGGCGGCGTCCCGCAGCATGCGCAGGCGCATGGGCCACGGCAGCTTGGAGCTGGTGCTGTGCAGCACGTCGCGCAGGCTGCCGCGGCCCATGTACTCGGTCACGATGGCTAGGTGGGGCTCGTTGAGGCACGCGCCGATGAAGGCCAGCACGTTGAGGTGGTTGAGGTCGGCCAGCACCGCGATCTCGTAGCGGAAGTCGAGCATGTCCTCCTCCGACAGGCGCTTCTTGGCCGTGAGGGTCTTGACCGCCACCGGCACGCCCTTCCACCGGGCCTTGTGCACGATGCCGAACGAGCCGGAGCCGATCGGCTTCTCGACGAGGATCTCGCGGTAGTTGATGATCGTGCGGCACATGTTGGCCGAGTTGAGGAAGCCCAGCTCCACGGGCTCCTTCCGGTGGTCCGGCCGGTGCCCGCGGTCGTCGTGGACCATCGACATAGAGGCCGACGCCAGCGGGTCGATGAACGACAGCGACGTGTTCAGATCGACCACCTTGCTGTTGCGCCGGTCGTCGTCTGAGTCCGAGTCGCTGCTGCTGCTGTCGTAGGCCGACCGCGCACTGGCGAGACGCGCCTTGTTGGCCGCCGAGCCCTCGAGCAGGCGACGACGATGCAGTGGCATGGTGTCCTTGACGATGGTGCGCAGGCAGCGCGCCTCTAGGCCTGGCAGGACCAGCTCGTAGAGGGTGGCGCCCTCGTCGGCCATGGTGTCCAGCAGCGCGCGGATGCGGCTGCCGCCCTCGATGACTGAGCCCGCCGAGGCGCGGTCGCGCTTCAGGTCGTAGTAGGCCTCCGCCGACAGCAGCACTACACCGCCGGCCGCACGCGAGGCCAGCTCCTGGGTCTTCTGGACCGCCGGGCCGGTGTACTCAATGTGGTGCGTGAGCGAGTCGATGTGGCAGCGCGGGGTGCCGTGGTGCACGCCCATGCGCACACGGAGGCCGCGGAAGATGAGCTTATCGTCGAGTCCGCCGGCGTTGAGTTCCTCGGCGGGAGGGCACTGGAGGAGCGCGGCGGGCCAGTCGGCCTCGAGCAGCGCGCGCTGCACGTCGGCGCACCAGAGGAGCGCGTCGGCGGTGGTGGCAAAGGCCATGCAGAAGGTGCCGGCGGCGCCTCCCTCGATCTTGGGCAGCATGGTCTCGTAGCCGCCGTAGCGCGCGAGCAGGCCACGGAGGAGCTCGTTGTGCAGGCGAGTGGCATCCTTCATCGCCTCGGGCACGTTGCTCCAGAGGGTGCCGGCCATGGCCACGTCGGAGCACACGATGGCGTGCGGTCCGTCGTAGTAGTGGTAGCGCCGAAGCGCGTTGCCTCGGCGCGGCTCGTAGGTATTCCGGTCCATCGAGTTCTTGGAGTTGGTCGACGAGCCGTGGCTGCGGCTCGAGTTGTCGCGCCCCATGCCGCCGTAGCCTCCGCCGGAGTAGTCCGACGAGCTGGTCATGCTGCCGGTCATCATGCCGCTGGTCGACGAGCCGCCGTTGTGGACGGCCTTGACGCGCGACACCAGATTGGCGAGGTTGGAGGTGATCTCGAGGAAGGTGGGCCGGACGCTGACCTCATCGCTCCAGCAGCTCTCGATGAGGCACACCACGGTCTCCACGTAGGGCAGCAGCTCGAGGTTGTCGCGCTCCAGATAGAGCGTCCCGTACTCCTCCTGGGTCGCGATGGGCGGGCGGCACTTGTCGCGCAGCACGGCGACGGCGACGGCGGCGGGGCTCTTGCCGCGGTAGGGCTGGTCGCGCGTCAGCACCTCCCACGTGATGATACCGAAGCTGTAGACATCGGCGGCGAAGAGATCGGCGTCGTTCTGTTCGTTGAGGATCTCCGGCGCGGCCCACGGCACGCTGCCCTCGAACTGCGCGCGGTCCCGCGGGCCTGAGCCGAGCGTGCTGAGCCCGAAGTCGGCCACCTTGGCGTTCCACTTGGAGTCCAGCAGCACGTTGAGCGACTTGAGGTCCCTGTGCACGACGTCCGACGAGTGGAGGAAGTTCATTCCGCGCGCGATGTGGAGGAGGATGAGCGACTTGAGCTGGAACGGCATGTGGTCGATGAGCTCGTTGTGCAGCAACTGCGCAGTTCAACACAAATCAGTTACCACGCGATGTTAGCAGCAGAAGAAGGAAGGCCTTCAAGCCATCAGGGGGATATGTGGAGTGACGTACGTCATAGAGGGATCCGAGGGCCATGTACTCCATCACGATGCACATGGGTACCGTTGAAGTGGCGGCGGCCATGAACATCACGATGTTGGGGTTGCGGAGCAGGCTCATGTGCTCGATTTCCTTCACGAAGGCCTGGCGCGCGCGCTTGGTGTCCGGCTGTCGGTTGCGGTCGATGACCTTGACCGCCACCTCGGTGCCCTTCCAGGTGGCCTTGTAGACCTTGCCGTAGCCGCCCTGGCCGATGAGCTCGAGGTTCTGGATGTCGGACATGCGGATCTCCCACTCGGGGCGCCCGCGCCGGCCGGCGAACTTGGTGACGATCAGCGCCGGCACGGTACCCACCAGCACGAGCAGGATCAAGATGAGGCACACACCCGCGCTGAGGCCCACGGCCAGGCCGATGGCCAGGTTGTCCGCCCCGCCGTCGTCTGAGTCCACCGGGGTCTCGCACAGGGCGCCCTGCCAGCCGGAATCGCAGCGGCATTGGTAGGCGGTCGTGTTCTGGCTGTTCGCCTGGCACTGGCCGTGGTCGGAGCAGATGGTGCCGTCGTTGACGCAGGCCATGAGCACGAAGACCGGCTCGCCGTAGCACTGCATCGAGGCGAGCGTGTTGATGAGCTGCTTCGAGCGCACTGAGTCGTCGCTGACGAAGGACACCATGCCCTCGCCGTCGGCCAGCGCGGCCGCCTGCTTAGTGTCGGTCTGCGTCCAGTAGATCCAGTCGACCAGCGCCGCCAACTTGGTGCATTGGATACCCTGCGCGGTGCTCGTCGCCGAAGAGTTGCCGCGCGTGTAGAAGTAGACCCAGCGCACGATGGGCCAGGCGTCGGGGTTCTGTGAGACCAGCGCCGGAAGCATGTAGCCGGTGGTGTTGGGATTCGAGGCTGAGTAGTTGTCGTTGAGGGTGGCCAAGATGGCATCGCGCTCGGGCGCCAACCAATTGCTGGACTGGCGCTTGGCTCCGCCCGAGCGGAGGTGGAACGCTATCCGGACGCCGCGCTCGGCGAGCGCCGCGGAAAGCCCGCCCCAGCCGAGGCTGTAGGGCATGCCCTTGATCAGGGTCGTGAGGCCGCTGTCCTTCGCCCCGGTCACGCGCTCGGTGTCGGCCTCGACAGGGAACGTGGTGTTCTTGAAGCTGGGAACGAGGCTGTAGATCCACGACAGCAGCGCCCTGTTGTCCGGCCCGCCGGAGGGTCCGCCGGAGCTGAAGGGGCTGCCGCCCTTGTCGAGCACCAACCTGATCGTCTCGTTGGGGAGAACGCGCGCGAGTTCGGGGTTGAGCGCAGCAATCTCCGGGGCGTTCCACATACTGTTGTCGTTGGCGAGTGGGTGGATGGGTCAGCGCGGGCGAAAGAGCGTTCATGGGCGAGCAGAGTGGTGAAAGAGTTGAAAAAGAAAGTAGGCCGTACTTGACGTCTCCGAACAGAATCTTGACGGCCAGGTCGGCCGAGAACACGAGGGGAATGGCGGTCACGCTCAGCGCGATCTGGGGCACGTTGTAGATGGCCACGAGGGCCTCGGCGGCGACGGGGATCGTGGACATGGGCATCGTCTCGTTGTGCTCGCGGTAGGTGAAGGTCACAGCAACGTCGGTCAGACCCGAGGTGGCCGACTCGGCGTTGGTGATGTCGAACAGGTAGGTCTCGTAGGCCAGCCGGATCGAGCCGGAGCCCGAGGAGGACTCGTAGCCGCTAGCCCAGCTGTTGATCAGGAGCGTAGGCGGACCGGCGGCCGAGACGGCCGGCGCCACGACGGCCTGGCCGTTACAGGTGACGGTCGAGACGGAGGTGGCGGCGATGGACCGAATGCCGTTGTTCAGGACGGCGTAGTGGGGCGCTTGCGTGATGAGGTCGATCGCCATGTTGTTGGTGTGGCTCCACACCAGGAAGTCGGCTACGGATTGGAGGTAGGCGCAGCCTCGCACCACGCTCTCGCGGGGCACCGACACGAACTGGAGGGCGGAGAAGGGCCAGCCGGCCTTGCTGTTGAGGATGTCAATGGCGAGCGACTCGCCTGCGACGATCGCCCCGACGCCCGGGACGGCTTGATTGAGTTGATCTTCGGTGAGGAAGCCCGCAACGGATTCGAATTGGATGGAGAGCAGGTCGTGCGCGACGCCCGCGGAGACCGTGGAGAGGGCCAGGCCAGCCGTCGAGTTTGCCAAGGAGCCGATGAGTTCCAGAGGGCTGGTTCCGATGGGGAGCGCGACGACTCGACCGGGATTGAATTGCTCCAGGGTGGGGATGAGACGATTGCCATTCGATCTGTAGGCGGCGCAGAAGACGTCGGCGTTGGGGATGTGCTCGCCGCTGTCGGTGAGGTTGCACAGGGCTCGGCCCAAGAGCCCCTGAGTTGATGCAAATTCGCTCGCCTCATCTTCGTAGTGCTGCACGTAGAAGGTGATCGGGGCCGAGGGGTCAGGGACGGCCATGTAGAACCAGCCATTTGGAGCCGCTTCCATCCACGTCGTCAGCTCGCCCACGTAGATGCCGAGCAGGTTCGTCGTGATGATGCTGAGTGCGGCAGCGCCCTCGCCCTGGAGGGCTTCTCGCTTGACCGGGTAGATGAGGCTGAGCGCGAACGCCGCCATCGGCACCTGCACCCAGCCATCCTCCGTCGAGTTGGCGAGTCTCGAGGATGCGACGAGGTAATCTTTCTCTCCGATTTTCACTTCGCGCAGAAGGCTCGGCCCCGCTCCGGCACTCGTCTCCTCGAGCTGGAAGCTGGTCACGTCGCTCGAGAAGCGATAGGACCTCGTCATGTTGGTGAAGAGCTCCGAGGGGTCGCCCACGCCGAGCACCGTTCGCGTGGCCGCCTCGGTCTGGAGGATGAGGCTTCGGCTGCTCAGCAGAAGCACCAATGCCGCCGCTACGAGCACGAGGTGACGAGAGAACAGCCGGCTGGTCTGCATGGTGGCGCGGCCGAGAGAGTGTGTGTGTGTGGGAGAAGAGAAAGAGAGTAGTGTGGCCACGAGGCGGGTGTGAAGATAGAATGAAGATGGTTGAGAAGTAAAGGTGAAGGGGCGGTAGGGTGGGTACCACCGGGCCGGTTGGGTGGTTATGGAGACGTGCGCGTATTGGTGTTTGTCGTATCCCGAACGAGAGCCATTGAGTGCTGGCCATTGGTCGGATAAAACAGCTCGACCACCGCAATACGTTGGTTGCTCTCAACAAGCCGTACCGCAGCCACTGCAGGTCGGGAGTGAGATCACCGTTGTCCGTCGTAGGTGAGCTGCGCACAGCGACTGGGTGGTGTGTTCCCCCTCGAACTGTCCCGAGCCTTCTCCGTCTTCATCAGCACGAGAACCCTGGCGAGGAGGAGCTCAATCGTTGCTGTGTTGTGTGTGCTACGAGACTTCATTCTTGCATTGATAGGCCGCCTTTTAATTTACTTAACGCGTAACCCCGACCAACCACGGTAAATGGTCCATTAAAGGTCAAAGGAGCATCTCCACTTTCTCTTCGTGGCGGTTACGAAGACAATCATCCCGCAGTCTGACTCAACACTCACTCCTCGGAGCCTGTTGAGGAGGTGGTCACCGGCTCCGGGCCGGAGTCGGCATCGGCGGCGGTGGCTGGCGCCGCGGCGTCGTCGTCGACTGGTGTGGCTGGTGCCTGCCGACGGGGCCTGTCGCCGACCGGAGGAATGGGCGCTTCGTCGCGTGCCTGCGCGGCGGTCCAAGTGGCGTTCTTGGCCATGTGCGCGAACGTGCAGCCGATGCGGGTACACTGCGGCACGTGGGCGAACTCAGCGTCAGTTCGTGGTCGCGTTACCAAGAGGATTTGAATTTAGCCGAAAGTAGACCGCCGGTGGTCTGCGGGCTGTTGGAAAGGTTACCTTTGAGCCAAAGCGACAGGGCGGTGCGTGCGAATACGAACACAAGGCGCCCCGGGCACAGGCGCGGCCGAACTTGCACGGACCCTGCACGCGTTCCCCAGGCACGTGCAGGCGAAGTTAAAAACAGTTCGGTTGTGTTGTGCGACCGCGGACATGTCTCCGCACCCGCCTCTCTAAGGGACAGAGAAGAAGCAAAGGCAAAAAGAGAAGGAGGTCGTACGGTTGGGTGCGAGTATTTACAATCGGACGTAGTGCACACAAAGCCGTTTCTGCACGGGATGGACTTCACCCTTGGTCTCTTCATGGGCGCCATCGCCATCCCTAGGGATAAGCGCAACCGCCAACCGAGCCGAGAGTTAGTAGCCGCGGCCACGGGTTGGCTCAGCGCAATGAAAAAAAGAAACTCATCAACAAATGATCTCATGGCAGATCATAAGCGAAATAACTAAACATAGGGAATTTGCGCCCGTAGTCCTTCAGCAAGGATGGGGCAACGTACCGAAGCCGCCCATGGCGGCAGCAGCGAACATGGGAGGAGGATGGCTGAAGTTGCAGTTGGGTCGCGTGCAGCCGACTCCGAACTTGCACGGGAGAGAAGGGTGAATGTAGAGGCACTTCTTGCCGTACGGACAGTTGGGGAAGCTCCTGCAAAGCGAAAGGGACGGTCAGACCCATAAAAGGCCCACTCCATACGTGTCGAGCACGCTCGGTGGCGAATGTGAGCTTCATCTGCAGATGAAGGAGAGGCGACTGGCACGTACTTGCAGTTCTCAGTGGGATGGTAGAACGGGCACTGCGCACCATTCGCGCACTGCGGCCAGAACGTGCATCGCTTGCGCTTCGACTTGCCCTCGCCTTGAGCGGAATCTGCGTCTAGAAGCATTGTGTGTGTGTGTGTGTGACAACCAAGCGATTAGCATCAAGTAAGCGACAAAACATAACAAACAATAAATCATGAGTGGACGAAAGTAAAGAACTGTCCGGGGCCAAGAAAGCGTGATCGAGATGGGGTACCCTCAAAGGAAGGCACGCCATCAATGTCGCCTGCCGTCAGCACGAGGGCGCTGTCCTCCTCCTCCTCCTCTTCGTCATTGGACACCGTGGCGCCGATTCCACCTCTGAGTTGCGTCTCGATCACACGCCGCATCCGTTTCTGCGCGGGCACGCCGCTCGAAGCAGGCGAGAGCTTTGACGCTCCGTCCAAAGTGATGGTGAAGCTCACCGGTCTGTTTGCTGCCCTGGTCGCTTCTCTGTCTTCCGGCGCGGGCTTCCGCTTTCTATTTACGGCCGCGACGATTGGCTCATGACTGTGGCGAAACAAAGTGCGTCGGCGTTAGCAAGTATGATACGACGCGTAGAAGGCGGTGGGGAGAGAAAGAGAAGTACTCGAATTCCTGATCGATCTGCTCCATGAGCCCTTCCGGCTCGCTGATGATATCCTGGTCGGACCGCAGCTGCGTCTGCGAGCCTCGTCGCTTGGTAGAAGCGGCCGCTTGCTCGACCGCGCTCATAATCAACCTGGACTCATCAGGCCATACAAATTAGAAAAAACTAGCAGACACCCAGGGTACTCCGATTTCGCGGCAGCGGCGGGTGGTGGTACCTGGCGGGGAGGGCGGATGAAGAAGTGCGCAGGCGCTGGGTGCGCTCCTCCCTGACCCGCTCCGGGTGGGGCTCACGGTCCCGCGATCTCTCCCCGTCGCTCCGCACTCTTCCGATGAACGAGTTCAACGACCGGTCCCGGTCGCGATCCCTGTCGCCCTCCCTGCCGCGCTCCCTCTCTCGCAGGTCCCGCGGGTCTCGCCTGTCACGCTCGCGCTCGCGCTCGTACCGGTACCTGTCGTCGACACCCATCGACTGTCTTCGGTCGCTCTCCCTGTCCCTGCCTCTCTCCCGGCTCCTTTCCCTCTCTCTGTCCCTGTCGCTCACGCGCTCCCTCGTCCGTTCTCTCTCCCGGTCTCTGGTGTCCCTCTCCCGCTCGCGCGGCCTCTCCTTCTCGCCCTCTCTTTCGTTGGTCTCGTTGTAGTCGTCCCTGTCATCGCCCAAAATGTTGCCCACGATGTCATCGTCCCTGGCGGTAGTGGCGAAGATGACGTTTAGGAGAAGGAGGAGGGGATACAGGTCAGTATTTTAGACGTGTTGGCTCCTTCACAGGCACACGGGCAGCCAGCGCAGGCTGAAGGCGCCTCTCTTCTTCGCTGAAGCACAGTGGCCGAGTGTGTGGGGTGTGTAAGCCCAAGGTACCTGTGGATGGGGACCACTTGCGAGGAGAGCTTGCGCGGCGGCTCCTCTTCCTCCTTTTCTTGCTTCTGTGCGTCGCCGAGCCCAAAGTTGGGAGACATCAGCGTCTCCCACAGCCTGTGGCAACACCGCCCAAAGCACACGGGGGTCAACTCGCAGGCTCACATGCTCGAGGGTGCAAGCTGCTCTTTTCGCAAGAGGCACGCCGTACCATCTTGCGAATTCCTTGGCGTTGTCCTTGCCCAAGAAGGCCTCCAAATCTTCGGACACCTGGGCCTCAGTCTTGCCATTACCCACCATCACCAGCACGTACTCCTGCAAATCATCAACAGTTGTTAGGCCATGGTACGTGCACCGTGTAGGTGGTGTAGAATAAAAAATTCTTGATTGATTTTGATTCGTTTAAAAAATCGTTGCATTGCCGTACCGGCAGCACATCGTCAGTGTAGCTGGAGATTTTGGAAAGCTTGTCCTTGAGCACTGCTTGCAGCTGGCTCTTGGTGGTCTTGTCGATTTCAATCGTTATGCGGCCGCGAGATGCCATTCTGATCCCTCTCACGCTGCAATCAATCACAAAACTGGCTGCCGGCAGGAAAATAAAGTGGAATCATGATGTGTCGACAGCAATCATCGGGTGGAAGACAGAAGACGCAACGATCAAACAAACAGGCCACGGCTGTCCGACATCGTTTCGGCTGCCACCTGTGGGCTCCAGGTCATACGCGCCTCCCTCCTCCTGAACTGCAGACGCCAAAGAGAGACAGTTAGCGATGGAGGCACTCCTGAGTCTGCTCTCACTAGCTGTGGCGAGGAGTGATCCTCGTACCAGACCGCGGGACTTGGTCCCAGCTTGTTGATCCGCCGCCATGTGCACCTCCGCCGAAAGCTTCGTCGGCAATTCCTTCTGCGCCCGCTTCTTGTTCTTCTCTTCGTTCTTTCGTCTCTCCTTCTCCATCTTCTTCTCCCGCTTCTCCCTCTTCCTTCGTTCTCTCCTCTGCGCCTTCTCGCTCGACGCCCCTCGACCCATAGGAGGCGGCGACTCAGCCACCGGCAGTGGCTGCGATCCGGCCGTCTCCGTCGCAGGCGCGGGCGATGGGGGTGCCGTCCGCTGCGTGGCCGATGGCGATGCGCTGGGCGAGTCAAGGAAGTCCAGGAGGCCCTCCAGCGATTCCTGACCGCCAGGAACTGCCTGCGTGGCGCGTGAGGCCTGCCAGTTCGAGAGCGCAAGCGATTTGCGGCGCGAGCGGTGGTCGGCGGCCGCGCTGGTGGTGGGCGACACGGGCCGGTGTGGCGCGCTGGAATAGCCGGGCAGGCGTGGTGGCAGAGGCGGCGGCGACAAGGTGCCAGGAGACGGGGACGGCGGGAGTGGTTGATCGTCGGCCAATGCAGCGGAACAAGAGGCGGAAGGTGATGATGCCAACGATGGATGGGCCGAACGAGTAATACGTGGTGGGCGGGTGGCGACCGCCGGGGGAGAGACGAAGAAGGGAGTGCCGGCGGCCTTGTCGTGGGAGTTCTCCTTCTCCCACTGCTCCTCCTCTTCTTGGGCCAGCAGTTCCAAGGAGGACGTTTGGGCCGCGGTCATGGGCTGTCGCACGGAGAGGCGAGACCACAGACTGCGCTTGCGGGGTTGTGGTGGCACATCTGCGAAGCGGGGGGGGGAAGTTGGGAAGGGCAACGAAAGCGACACAAAAGCAAAGAGAGAAGGGGCGAGGCCAGGCTTTTAACTTACCTCTGGGGAGGAAGGAGGTTGCGCTTGTCATGGGCTCAAGAGCACAATAGGGGTCGTACAGAGTCGTAGAGTCGCCTAGAGCTGGTGAACAGGGAACAGTGAACAGTGAAGTCGTTCCCACCAATCGTGGCTTCAGTCTGTGCGCAGTAATTCTTCACCAGCCCAGACTACTATTTCAAGTAAGAGCCTGTACAAGGTTGCACCACGCAGCGCCTGTTCGTCACGCAAACCGGACTGGCGAGCCGTTGTTCTGCGTGATCATTTCGGCAGCTATCTCTGGGCTCCATGTCATCCGTGCTTCCCGCTTCGACATCTGCTTGTGCACAGCACAGCGTTAGGTCGGGTGCCCTCACTTACGTGTGTAAGGCGGCTAGCGATACCCTAAGCGTCTTTGCCCTGGCGGTGTTGTAGACACGATGCTCAGCCTGGCTGCCGCCGCCTTCAACAAAGAAGGCGTCCTGTGGAGTGCAGCCTGCGATATACCACCAACATCAGGTCAGAAAAAGGGCCTCACAAGGCTTACGAATCCGGTAGCGCGGTACCGGCTTGCTCGACCATCGCGGAGAGGTTGGCTGAGCTTCGTCGGCGAAGAGTGAAGGAGAGCCGCCGTTCCTTCTTCATCATCTTGACCGTCGCCATATCGGCAGACCCTGTCGCTTTGTGCGTGGGTGTTCGGACCTCCTTCTCCCATTCCAGCTTCTCCCTCTCGAGCAGTGCGGCCATCGCCAGTCGATCCGGCTGAGTTCGCTTGGCTTCGCTGGGCGACTTCGATCCTTTCTTAGCCGCTGAACCAGGCGACCTCGAACCCTTCTCTTTCTTTGGCGCTTCGCTCTTCTTGTCGCTTTCGTTCGTCTTCGCTTTCTTTTCTTTCTTTTTCTTCTTTTCCTTCTTTGGCTCCGCTGAGTTGGTCGCAGACCCGACCAGCGATATCTGTGCCGTGTTGTGAACGGCGGGCAGCGTCTGTGGCTGTGCCGTGGGCTGCGCCTCTGCGATGGTGGTGGGAGTGAGCGAGCCGGATGACGACGTGCCGGATGGCGACGCGAGGAAGTCCAGCAGACCCGCCAGCGCCTCCTTCCCCGCCGGCTGCCCCTCCCTGGTTCCGCGCAGGGAACTGAGCGCCGTCGACCTGCGACGCGACGCGAGCTTGGACGAATGCCGGGCCTTGATCATGGTGATGGCCGCCGAAGAAGCCGCGTTAGACGGAGAAGGAGCTGATGATGACGAGGGGGAAGATGGTGAAGGCGCCGCCGGGTGGAGTGGGGGCGGGAGGGACAGTTCGGGGAGATTGGAGGGCGCGAGTGATGGTTCGGTGGAGGCGCGCGCGATGGTGGAAGCCCGACGGCGAGTGACGACAGCCGGCGCGGAGGCCGACGAAATGAAGAAGGGCGACACGGATGAGGAAGATGGAGAGAGCGGCGCAGCAGTGTTAGAGGGTTGGTGACTCTCCTGCAGCTGGAGGGGCGACTCTTGTTGTAGCCCGCGAAGCTCTTGATCTTCCTCTTCGACCAGCGATTGTAGTGAGGCTGCAGAGAGAGGCCTGCGAAGGGAGAGTCGGGACAATAACCGACGCGTCCTGGATGGCGGCGAGTCTGCGGCAGAACCGTTCGCGTGAGCATGGCACCACTAAAAGAAAACGAAAGCGATGGGAGAAGAGAAGAGGGGGGGGGTGAAGTGGTAGGTACCTTTCGTGGGGGTAGGTGGGGAACAGCTGGTCATGTTTACGCCCTTATTTTTTTTAGGTGGAGCTCTAACGACGCGTTTCCAGCTCCAATGGTGCCAAGGTGAAGGTGGCGTCTTCTTGCCTCCGGGCTTTGCGACCGGGAACAAGAACAGCAGCCAGAGCCTTTTGGTGTCCGTGTACAGAAAGGCTGCAGCGAATCACAAAAATCGAAATTTATTGGTTGCCTAGCATCCGTGACGTCTCGCCAGGACATGGCCTTACTTTTGAAAGAAGCGGAGCCTTCATGGGAGAAGTAAGCCGGTGGATGGTGTCTCGCTGATGGGGGTAGGTACGGTGGTACGCTCGAGAATCTCCAGGTGTAGGGTTTGGTACTGCTCCTCCGAGACACCCAGCGCATCGAGCCACTGGCGAAAGTACTCGTCCAGTCGGTCTGACCTGGGGTGCGTGCCTGGGCGTGCACGGCTCGCAACAGTGAGCACATCAGCGTCACACAACACGACATCGCTTCGTCCAAGGGGCGCACCTTTGTGGTAGATCTCAAAGTCCTTGCGGTTCTGCACCTTGTCGGCGACCAGCATGTGGTTGACGTCGGTGATGGGCGACAGTTTGATCTGCTCGGTGGCTGACTTGAAGGAGAGGTAGTATATAGTATATAACAGTTGTATACTACTTCTCGTGTCCTTCCTCTCCTTCCACGCTTGCCTGCCTTAACGTTTGAACAGCGTCGTTACTCCGGCAGGAGGGGCACGCCCGCGAACGGGTCGCGGTGTGGTCGTAGCTCGAACACGAAGTTCAAACGTGGCTGGGTGTGCTTGCGCTGCAAAGTGCGCCGGAGAGAGAGTGGTAAGAGTTGGAAGGTTAACAACGGTAGGCGAACGACGGGGAGAAGGGAGGTAGCAGCACCACTCGATGAAGTGCGGCGGGATAGGCATCGCCCGTGAGCCACTGACCAACCTGCCCTGCCCCCAGCAACAGCGTCAGGGCTCCGCCAAAGAAGGCAGGGCGCTCGGGAGAGGGGTACCGACGAAGACCACAAGGTCGGTAGAATCCACCATCGTCTCGATATCCACCCACTCTGCACAGATCATACAAATAGCGTTGAACGAAGCACTGTGAACCACTCACACCAAGACGCGCCTCGCACCCTCTGTTTCTGCGTCAAGGAGCTGCAGTCCGGGCACGTCGGCTCGCGTAGCGACGGACAGGATCCCTGTAACGGCACAGTGTTAGCCCCACCACCCAGGAAAAGACCCATTGCGAGCAGCATCATTCGCATACCTGGGTCCGTGTGCTCTGCGCAGTTCACGTTGTTCACCAGCTCGGGCGAATTGTAGTAGTGAAACACGTCCACGACCGACGCTGAGCAGCCATCGGACGGCACCTCCGTGTCTGCCCCAAAAGACGAGACAACGTAAGTGCTCATGCGCGCAAGAGCGTTAGCAAGCTCTACTCACCGCCTAATTGAGCGTACTCAACGCTGAAGTCTCTCCCCACAGATTCGAGCATGAGCCGCAGCACCTGCGTGTGTCGGCGAAGGTCAGGAAGTGGTCTTACGTTTTAGTGGTGCATAATGGGGAGGGTGTGATCCTGCCTTGAGGGCTGTGTCGTGCATGAGCTCGTACAGGGCGTGGAGACAGTCCTTCATACCATCTACATCAACCGTAAGGAGTTGAACCACACGCAATGCCGATGGGGACGGTGGCGCACCGGGGTGCTCAGGCCATCGGGCTGAACACTCGGGTCCACAGATGCGATACTGTTGGCGGTGTACCGGTGAGAGGGCAGCGTAACGGTCTGGAGAAAGGAGAGGACGGGCCTACGTACGGTAAAACTCTCCTTGGCCCGTGTAGCGGCGTAGCCGAAGCTCCTGCCTTGCACGACACTCGCGCACGTCTGGCAATGCAAAGGCGCGTTGGCCTTGTGTGCGAGGCGAGGAGTGCAAAGTAGAGGGAAGGGGGCGACCTGCTTGTGTTGGGGAGTGTTCTCCTCAAAGAAGCGATGCATACACGCGAAAGCTCTCGTGATCGTGCCTGCGTCCTCCTCACCCTTGGTCTTCCAAACCACGAAGGAGTGCTGCCGCAGGTGCTGCAGGGCCGCACTGTGTTCCATTTCTGTGTGTGTTTTTTATACATTATTTTCTCTGTTCGTTGCAGAAGACGAAGAGAGGCACATGGAGGCACTTTGGTGGAGCCTTCTGGTGACGGTGGTGGCGGCAGCCCTCTGGCGATGGATGCGGCGCACGAATACCGTGGTGGGCGACTTCAAGGGCAAGGTGGTGTGGATCACCGGTGCCAGCTCCGGCCTTGGCGAAGGTGCGAAGATTATAATCTTTTACATTAAATTGTTGGGGGGGGGCACACTACCGACCATGTGGTGCGTTGTTGTGTGCCAATTTATTGTGATTGTTTACATACCACCACGGCAGCGCTTGCGCTCGAGTTGCAAGCTGCCGGCGCACGACTGATCCTGAGCGCAAGAAGAGAGGACCAGCTTGAGCGCGTACGCCAAGCCTGCCTCGCATTGGTACCGTTTCGCCACCTCCCCGCCCTACTCTGCGCGAGCGTCAATTTATGCCCATGTCGGGCCAATGTCCCTGGCACATGTCTAGACACCGGCGGGCGAGGAGCCGTCCGTCCTGCCCCTCGACGTGGCAGAACTCGCAAGGTACGACGATCTCATCGCACGTCCGTCCAATCGCTGTCGTGTGTCGTGTGTATCGTGTCGTCTGTCGTTGTTTCACACGAAGCTTATGTCGCGGCCAGTCTCGAGGGCAAGGTCAAGGATGCGACGGCTATCCACGGACGAATCGACGTACTGATCAACAATGCGGGCGTCAGCGTTCGAGCGCCGGCCATGGAAACTAAGGCAAGTCCGTCGCTCTCTGCGCTCTTTTTGAACGATTTGATTTGATTTGATTCGCTCGCTCGCGCGCTAACAACACACGCGGTGTCGTTTCGTAGCTGGAGGTGGATCAGCGGGTTATGAACATCAACTACTTCGGCACCATCGCCTTGACGAAGGCGCTCGTCCCGGCCATGACCAAACAGACTACCGGGTATTATTCCAACCGATGAAGATTGCAGCTTACGGAGGAGAGGCGCCTGTGCGTTTGGCTGGTCGCGTGCTGACTTCCTCCGTCGTTTATTCCACAGAGGGCACATCGTGGTGATCTCAAGCGTGCAAGGCAAGCTGGGGATCCCGTTTCGATCGGCCTACGCCGCGTCCAAGCATGCGCTCCACGGCTTCTTCGATTCGGCGCGATTCGAGCTCGAGAAGCAGGGAATCGCGGTAACCCTCGTGTGCCCGGGTAAGCATACACCCTACATTGATGGTGTTTTCGTACATCGAAGCATCATGGGCTGACGCCTAGGATACTACGCTGTGTGTGTGTGTGTGTGTGCTGGACACCCGGCTAGGCTATATCAAAACCGATTTGTCGCTGAACGCTCTGACCGGGAGTGGCACGAGCTACGGCAAGATGGACGAGACGACAGCCAAGGGCTATGAGCCTGCCTACGTCGCGCAACGGTACCAGGCCCTTGACCTTGACCTTGCCCTCGCGCCATCTACAAACGCAACTAAAAATGTTGTGTTTCTTCTCCTCTTTCGCTCACAGAGTGATGCAGGCGGTCAGCGAGAAAAGGGACGAGATCATGGTGGCCAAGCCTGACGCCACAGCGGGCGTGTTCCTCAAGGTGCTGTGCCCGTCCCTGCTCAAGACCATCCTCCGCAAGAGGGCCGTCACCCATTGAAGATACGAGCAGTCATATTTATACACCCCACACGGAGGGCTATCTATTTAGCGCTGTGCCCACTCTCTTGGCAAACGACTTCTTGTTGGTGTTCGTGGGCAAGACGATGATGACACATTCTTCCGACCTTTGCGTCATCGGTGGCCTTGGCGACGAGGTCGACGAGCTGGCAGAGAGTCGCAAGAGAGAGAGAGAGACAGAGAGAGCAGTCTCTGACGGTAAAGCCGGACTCTCTGCCATTGGTTGTCGGTCAGACTAACTCCTTCCAAAGCTTTGACCGAACTGCGATTGGCCACGGACATAAGCAACCAACGGCTTTTATGGTCGGCGATGGTCTTCTTCTTGATTCTTCACCAACCTTACACACATCACAAACTACCCTACTACTTACCCCCTACTTTACCACCACCACCTACCAACCAACATGGGCAAGTGCGAAGGCTGCGGCGGATCGATGGTCAAGTCTCACGAGGTACACCACTGCTCTCTCGGCTCTTCTTCTCCGATTTCTTCTTCTCGGCTCTCTTCTTTGCTTGAAGAATGATCTTTGCTCACAGTAGTTGCCACCAACGTGAACGTCGATGCAGGTCGAGTGCAAGAAGTCTGGCTGCACCTTTTCGGTCTGCCATTTGTGCCACTCGACGCCCCAGGGTCGCATCGGCACCAAGTGCCCCAGCTGCAGTAAGATCACTTCCTGGGCCAGCAACTAGTGAGCCTTCCATCACCTCTTTCGTCTGGTCGCCAGCTCAACACCGACAACCCACCCACAAGGCCCCAGACCAAACTTGTAGTCATTCCATGAAAGCACGTTATTAGATTAAAATAATTGATTGAAGATGGAGGGGGAGCACGAGCAGCTTGCCGAAGTGCTCATTAACGAGCTACCGTTCAAGACCACCTTCCCCCCGCCCACACGCATGTCGCCTGCCCAAAGCGGTACGTGAGGGAACATAGTAGGATTAATGCATTAATTGAAAAATCATGTTCACGTTAGATGAGCGGGTCGCCGAAATGAAGAGACGGGGCGGCCTGGCACCGTGCGAGCTCGTGCCATCGGCCTCTGCCTGCGACGAGACCATCGCCACCACCGG